GAATGCTCGTGCGTAACCGTCGGCATTATAGTGTTATCGAAGAAGATTCATCTCGCCCCATTTTGCGGCTATCCTGCTGCAATGAGTTTCCACACAAAGGTATGGCGTGCGTAGGTAGCTTCAGTTGTGTGGTTGTAGTTATAACGGCTGTTTGGTTTTCCGTTTGCGATGATCACAAGTCTACCGTCCGATTGGCGACAGACGATAACATGCAGGAACGAAAGCCAATTCTCCGCTTCCTATTGCATTTTGAACTGAAGACCAGCGTTGGTGGGTTTCAGTCAGACCAGTACAGTTTAAGTGAGGGAAATGTACATGTTGCAACATTGAACTGGCTTTTCCTACAGGCGGTAGAATTATAACATAAGTTTTAAAGTTAGAGGTGACTCTCCGGACAATAGTCTCGCTCGCAAACTGGTTAAACCGGAAGCTTCGGTTCCTAGCTACAGTCTTACAGACCACAATGCACTCGACAGAGCAGTCTTTTGAAAAAATCGAAATACAGATAACCGGATCGGATGAGAGGATGATGTGATTCGATGTCCCCTCAATCATTTCGTCCATGTTACCGACACTCGCGGTTGAAATAATCAGTAGCTTGCTATGTCAAACAAACCATGAATATGGTGACCGATCCACAGCTCAACAGCCCTGCTTTAAGGTAGTATTCACCTGCGACAGGATCACAAATTTGCGAACTAAGGGAACCGTTCCGGGCTCGGCAGGAGGCTGTCCATTAAAGAGAATATTTTCTATTTGCCAATAGCATGCACCACGTAAAAAAATACCAGCAGCTAAGTATACACGTGAATAAAGGAATAAAGAAGTGATCCTAGCAATCCTTTGTGTCCTTTAATTATGTCGTTCATAGTAGCGAGAAACTAAAAAAGCTATAGCTCGATTAACTTGACTTGCCATCAACATTTTATCGTAAAATACTCGTCTACTGAATATTTTAAAGTAGAAAATATGGAAGCTTATAAAGAACATGCAATTTTGCATCTCTCCAACAGGTCAGCTTCATGGATTTCATTACCTACCCTCTGTGGGAAACATGGAGTGACCTCGTTTATCCTCATGGACAGATTATGATGGATAACATTGCGAAGAATCGGTGTTGGTTTGCCACTCTCAGCCACAAATCCTGCCTCCACGAAATCAAACCGGACGAGATCAAAATAGCCGAAGTTTCGGAGGACTAAAACTCGAAGCATTATGTTCCAGGAAGTCTTCTGATGCTGCTTTGTAATGCATCCCTATGCACAAGAAACTAAGCTGAACAGGGGCAAAATTCTGCGCCTATGGAAGCATTTAAAAGTTTGTTTAAAATGCTGACGCCAGACAAGCAATAATTTAGGATATCCCTTTTTTCTGCGTCAAGTTCGAGAATATTTATCTCAGTTCCCTGCCGATATATGGCAGTGCAGGAAATCAGAAATGACGCCAATGTTCCTGCCTATCGCCACAGTTGAAAAACATTATGTGATCGCCTCATTTTCATCTTGATTTCCTGCATTGAGGCCTCAACATTTTACAGGGAGACCTCTCGTCGCATATGTATACTTGTATTTTTGCAGATCGGCTTTTGCCAGATGTGCTGTGACCCAACATCAAACATTTCCATCAGCCACCATCACCAGAATGTATATTAGACCGGTCCTTTTTTCTCTCTATACGGATACATATGATTGTGCTCATTTAATTTCGCATGATGCCAAGTTTGAATCTTGTTTGTTTAATTATTTTTAAATATACAGTTATTTCAAAAACCTGCTTTGCGTCTATCAAAATAAGCTAAGCGGCTGAAGTCTTGATAAATACGTCTTTATAATGATCGTAGATTTGTAGAGCATGCACTATGCTCCATCTTCTTTCCCCGTCTGATCTCAATGTCATGATAGTGAAATAGACCGAAGGCAGGAGAGTACACAGGTGACTTGCTCAGAAGTACCCACGCCTAGACACACCACCACAACCCTGGTGCACATAAAAAAAACCGGATCACAGTTTCAACCAACAAAACGGATGAGTCAGAAAGATGACGATGACACAACTCACTGGGCTACCATGCACGCGACCTATATAACCAGCGGGAGAGCAGGCACATCCAATGGTAGGGAATCTGGTGTCAAAAAGCTGTTAGTGCACACTAGGCTCTGAGGGCCATGATTTGGTCAGCCATGGCACACAGAGACCTCAAAGGCCAGAAGAGAGAGATGCAGCCTTGCAATTAATCTGAGCCACCATGCATAAAACGACGGGTAACCATTTAGTCATCTGCCAAGGGGCACTATTCACACACGCACAAGCTCCTCACATGAGTGTGAGTGCCAGCTCACAGTAAGAAGGAGCCGTTGCAGCCTGACTCTCAGTCATTCAATCCGCCACTGCAAACTAACACACATGCTATTGTATATTCCCGACAGAGAGCCAACAGAGCGACGGGCTGGTGGCGCAGTGGTTAGAGGCCACGAGTTCGAGTCTCAGGTATTCCACACGTCGGGGTAGGGTATGACTGGCTGACGACGGCTAATAAGCCAGAAATGGCCATTCCTGTTTCCTTTGGCTTTGTCGGTAATACCATACTGCCTATATCATGCGGCGCTGTGCGGCTGCTGGTTGGGCTCGAGAGAGAGAGAGAGCCCGTAAGGCACAACGGAACGAGTGATTTCCGTAAGAGCGATCGGTGAGCGTCCTCTATCACACACAACTTTGGTGACTGCCACAGCACTTGGTGCACCATGATATTACCAGGATCAGGTCACACATGCATCAGAGGAGCCAAATAGAGAAGGAGCCGAGAAGCAGACTCGAGGTGTCAATCAAGTGCGTGCTACTTATTTTGATGGGTGATGTTGACGTGTAGTACGATTTGGAGGCACAGGTAGAGGAGGATGTTGTGGTGTGATATAGACGACGGTTGTCGACTGCAAGTTTTTGTGAATGCTTATGTGACCTACTAGGTCCATGCGATGGTCGAATGGGCGGATGCAGTGAGGGCAGTCTAGGTTGATCCGTCCAGTGTAAGAGAGTGCCCCAAGCACTAATCCGCCAGTCTCTGTGCGGTGAATTCGCAAGTGACCGACTAGGTCGATGTACGAGGCGACCATGCAGTCACATTAAGGACGGGTTTGGATGGAGTCCACATCGCCGGAGGTGAGTTTGCTGGTTATGATGGTAGCTAGTGATGGGATGTCGGGCGTCGTCCCATCGATGAACGGAGCGCGCAATGTCGTGGTCGCTGCGGTGCGCGACAGATGGTGCGCCAGATGATGGCGGTGACTGATGGCGACGGGGCGACGATAGGGTAATAAATGGTATCGTGATAACCATCGTCTTGAGATATCCAATAGGGGTAAAAGTGAACGAAGAGGTTTAGGTTACCTGGCTGTTGGTGAACTGCAACCGAAGGTGTCCAACGAGGCTGATTTGCTTGCAGATTTAAAGTGACAGTGCGGGCATGCTGGAAACGGCTGACAGTTCGAATTTGCGAGTTGATACACTTGTAATTCACGGTCCTCTCGCATCGTTTTGACGTCGTTAACCCCATTAGCTTTATAGGTGACTGTACCAGTCTTCAATTCTCTTCTCCAGGCCGATCTCTTCTGGACAAGGTCTTTCCAAGTCTCCGGGTTGATATGGATTCGCTTCAGAGCAATTTTCAAAGTTTCCTTCTATCGGTGTTTTTGTCTTCCTTGTCGACAAATAACCATGGCGACATCTCCATAGAGGAGTCATTAAGGTATTCGTTCGTCGAAGTGACCGCACCAACGCAGTTTCAGTTGTCCCAGCCTGGAGTGGATTCTAAAAATTTACATCCATTCCAGCACTTAGGTATCGGGGATCCGGTCCTGAAATCGCAGCTTTAGTCTTCTGTAAAGCAGCTGAGATTGAAGTGGTCGAGCTTCCTGGCACTGCGACAGATTTGCGCGTCTTCATTTCACGCGAAGTTGGCCGAAAGTTTGGCTCGTTTTAGTGATCTGGTTGGCCACTGCTTTTTCGATTCCGATGCGTGAGACATTAAGCTGCCTAGGTCGTCGATGTAGTCCACTATCTTCAGTTTGGTGCCGTAAACATGCATGACATAAACACTTTACTCAGCATTTGGTGGCCTTTGAAACATGACCACGGTCTTGCTTGTGTGGATTGTAAGTCCGAAAAGGAGGTCGGATAGAGAGGAAGAGATTCGTGCACCATTGCATTTCTGCCTCAAGCATAGTCGAGTATGAAATTGTCCGCGAAGAGAAGGTCGTAACGGGAGCTGTGGATACACGCGAATGGAAGTGCATCCGCTGATGATTAAATTGTTGGCTATTAATCCTGTTGGGAATGCGAATTCCAGAACGTTCGTCAAGCAGCAATGCCGACAGCATAGGTCTGAAGAAGGTAAGCACATGGCCCAGCCCTGCTTCACTCTGTTGTTCAGTGCGAATTCATGTAAGACGGCTACGTTGTCCGTGACACGCGCCATCATTCCAGCACAGAGATGACACCAAATCTAAATAAATGTTCTGGGACAGCCGGATTTCTGCATGGTTTTCGCAGTTTTTCGCGATTCAGTGTGTCAAAGGCTTCCGTCAAATACGCGAAGAAAGTGTAAAGGTTTGCCCGACCGAATGGTTTCTAGGAAGAAGTGCGGGAGTCGAGGTTGAGTATGTTCTCCACTTGAGGGAAATGATCGACGGCGACGTTGGGGATGGCGAAGGGGCTGCTGAGAACTCGGCCCAGCGCTTTTGAATTCTCGCATTCTCAGTGAGTAGGGTAATCCCGTCGGCGCAGAGAAGAGGTGCAGTTCTTTTGGCTGTTGGACTGTAAACGGTCCTACTCCCAGCGAAATTGTTCTTTCATTCTTTGCGGTCCGCGTACCCTCGGATTTCTTTGGTCGTGCGAGCCATCCAAGCGTCCTGCATTTTCCGCAGCCGCTGTTACACAAGGCGGCAACTTCGGTAGAATACTGGTTCGTTTGCGTCGGTAAGGAGGTAAGCATAGGCTTTGTGCAGTCAGTTCTTCTCAGAGTGCAAGTTTCCGATAGCCGCCTCGTCGTCGTCGTCGTCGTCATCGTCGTTGTCGTCAGAGAAGTCCTGGTTTTGATCACGTGCACGGTCGAGGACATCCGGAGCAGTTGACTCTACTGTGTCCCTCGGTTGACACATTCGGTTTTCTATGAAAGCGTCCTCGTCGTTGACGACTGGAGGCTGTTTAGCAGCCGAGTTTTCTTGTAACTAAGGTGGAAAAGGTAAGCAGGCACATCCACAAGAACAGTATTCCACTAACCTGGTGGTCGCTTACCTTGAGATTTTCCCAGTGGTTGTATGCGGGCCCTCAACTTCGAGATGACGAGACGATGGCCGTTCCACGCCTCGGTACCCGGGATCGCATTTGTCACCAAAAGGTCCGGCTGGTTTCGCATTCGGAGGAGGAAATAGCCCAGCAGGTCGCAGCATCGCGACCCAAAAGTCATGTATATCGCATTCTTTCCCGTCGGTAGGTGGAAGAAAGCGTTGGCCGAAATAAGGCCATGCTCTGTACAAGTTCGCAGGAGGAGCAAGTCATTGTTGTTAAAGCCATCATGACCATGAGAAACGAGCACTCCAATCCAGACAGCATGATTTTTGCCAACACGGCGTTGAAGTCACCAAGGACAATCAGAGGCGTGCAGGTCCTTTTAAAATTTGTTTCCGTCTTGTCAGAAATAGCCATTGGTGAGGCATTCACAATGATGATGGTATTGTATTTGGATCACCGGAGAGGCAGACGGAGGCTCATCAGGCGATCGTTGATGTCGTGCAGCAGGCAGGGCAGTCGTCCCGCAATGTCGTTACAGATGGCAAAGACAATGCCCGCGTTTCATCGTTCTGGCTCTGGGCGACGGTTCCAGAAGGTGTGGCCGACATCCACCTTCCCTATTTGATCTTGTCCAGAGAACCTGGCCTTGCTAAGTGCAGCGACGCCCACATTGTAGCGCGCTAGTTTTCGAGCGAATGACACCTTTCTGTGTTGGTTCCTTTGCTGGTTCCCACTGAGATTGCTTTAAATGGAACGAACATTCTAGGCTGCCAGAGTGGACGACATCATCCAAGCTGTTTGTGGCCTGGGACGGCGGCGAGTAGGAGGACGAAATTAAAGAGAATTGTTTCCTGATTGATAGTTTCAACCGTATGTATTTCATTTGCACGCAAATGTCCTGATCCCAGCATTTGTTTACGGTGCGGCTTCCGGTCCCATCCCCCCACGGGAATCCTGGGCAGCTGCCGAATTGCACTATAGGTTACATATTGGCTTGGTAAGAGAACGATCCGATTGGCGGAGGTCGCCCACCTGATTGTATGTCGTCCTCGCTGTATAAATTTTCGGCCGTCAAGAAAGCGATTAGACTAGTGAGTGTAGAGAAGGATAGACGAGGGGAGATGAACTGATTTGCCGGGTGTAGGGACAGACCCAGAAGGCCTCACCTGGTTTAGCCCGGCAACTGATGTTTGGTCGCTGGGTAAAGCCTAACCTGAGGAGTTACAAATGCGAGTGGATTGTTAGTTAATAGACACAGGGCATAA